AAACATTTCCCTGAGAAAATCCATCCCCAAATTCCATTACAATGTATGAAACACACTTTTAGAAAAGGCAGAAAGCGTGTGGCCTGAGGAAAAAGGGGAGGGTACAGAAGATGGACAAGTCACAATGTGAAGGATTCACAGGAAAATAAAAATGTCAATATACTAAGAGGGAAGAGAGCCACTTGCTAAATGTTAGCAAGACCAAATGATATATTTAGAAAGATGTTAAGTATCCCAAAGCACAATGTAAGAAAGCCGCTGTGCAGACCAGACTGCAAACACAGCTCTGCTTGATCTCAATATGACAAGCCAACCAGTAAAAAGCTTCAATAAGAAATACTGAAATTGAGAAATGTCATTCTCCCTTGATTTACATCTGAGAAGTCAACAGATGGGAAAGACAAAACTTAGTAAAAGTTTTATATGATTGTATTAATAAATTAACCGTCTATCTCTCCTCCAGCACTTGAAGAGTCATTCAGTAAAAAAAATTCTGTGCTCTCTATATTACAAGTTGAATCAAACACTTAAGATGAGAGTAAAGAAGAGAGAAACTCCGAAGACTATGCTGCACTTGTGAATGCCTTACATGTATAAATATCCTATTACGTATTCTAAGAGAACATTACCAGGTAAAATTAAAACTTGTTTGCCTTTATGGAAATTAACTACCTCAAATCTATCCTCGTATATAACTAGAAAACAAGTTACTATCTAAACTCTATAACATTAAAATTTCACAAAGAACTGCTGCTTCGTATAATACGTATACACTGATCAAAGAACTCTGGCAGTGCAGTGGGTGGGCAGTTTGAATCCACCAGCTCCTCGCAGTCACATGAAGACTTACAGTCTGAAACGCTGTGGAACAGTTCTAGAACTGTGGTCACCATGAGTTGGACCCGACACGATGGCAGTACCAGGCGGCGTGTGTGTGCCTGTGTTTCTGTGTGTATCAAAGAACCACAGATGTTTCTACCTTTAAAGCAAAATACAGAATATTGACAATTTTAAATTAAAAACAGGAGAAAAATATGTTTAAAAATGAAAAAGTTGGGAAAATAATTTTAATGAAAAATTTGAAATTTAAAACAGCTACAACTGGACTTCAAAGCAAATTTTATAGCTTTCCGATATACATATAAGTCAGGAAACACAAAACTAAGACAACAGTAGTACCACCACCAGGTTATAATTTTACAAGAATTTTAGAAGAATGGCCATAAAACAATCTTACAAATAAGATGTATTATGAGTTTAATACTAGATTTTTTTGTCTTTGACTCCCCCCCATTTTTTAATTAAAAGATCATTTTATTGGGGGCTCTTAGAGCTCTTAAAACAATATATCTATCAATTGTATC